TTGTGCCATCATAGTATGACCATGTGTGAATATGTGATAACGAACCCCACCATCATGCATGAGTATGATGCACCATTTAAGAGGGAAAAGAGAGTCAACCCAGTCATCTCTCAGGAGCTGGGCTGTGGCCAGAGTGGGAGGCCCTGGGCTCTACCCCCGGCATGCAACGCGAAACGAAACTCGGAAACCTTCAGCGGTAATCTGTTGGATAAGACGTGCAGCCAGATGAGGATCCCCTGTAGCTGTGAACAGAGGAGGGAAGTCCCCATGACGTCGTGCTGCATGAGAAGAGCAAGGCACAGCACCAGCCCTGCATGCTCCATCTGGGTGGGACAAACAGCCAACGTGTGACTGTCCAGCAGGACGTGAGACAAAGGGACAGGGAGGGCCTCTGGGGAGGGCAACAGGGGGGTGAGGGTGGGAGCTGACTGATTTCTTCAAAAGGACGCAAGCCTTTAAATCTGCTTCCACACGAGCCTCGTGACTCCGCCTCTTCCCGATGCCTGCCGGCCGTGGTCCCCTCATCCCAGCTTCTGTACCCTGGAGCCCCCCGGCACCTTCTCTCCGGGGCCTAGCCTGGCCTGTCTTCGGGGCTCCCAAAGCACTGCTCCTATGCCCAGGAACAGCCACCAGGAACGCAGCTTGTGCCCGTATCCAGGAACCTGTCCCTGCTGGCCTTGGCCTGAAGTCCTTTAACGTGCCATCCTTGATAGGAAACATGTCCCAGTGTGGGCTGCCACCAAGAAGGAAAGAAACGAGGGGCCGCTTTGCTCCTGTCAGCAGGTGGTGCCCCAGTGACACCCTAGGCCCTGTGATCAGGGGCTATCTGTTTGGGGGAGGGGTGCTTCCCAGGCCACACACAGTTTTCCAGGCTTCCCCAGTTGGTCTGAGGCGCGGTCCAGGCTTGTGTGACTGGCCACAGGCGATATGCTCTCCTCCCACCAGGCGCAGCACTCGTTAGCTCTCCCRCGGGTTCATTCCCGTCAAAGGGAAAAGGAAGACAGATTCAGGCTGAGGCGCCCAAGGGAGAGTTCTGCCAGCTCCAACCAGAGCCATGAAATCTTCTGGGGCTGCCACCAGCCCCTCTGTTCCCATGGACACGCCACCCGAATGGCCTTCAGTCACGAAGCCTGGGATGGACAGCCTAGGCCAGGACACTGCAGCAGAGCCCTAATGCAGAGTTCCTGTACCCAGACCCTGGACACAGCCTTGTGCCAGCTGGTGGGCACTAATCAAGGTACCTGGGCCTGTCTCTGTGGGTCCCCCAAAGCCCCATGGAGGTCACACAGGGAGGGGAGCACCTCGGGCCACCCATGGCAGCAACGGCCTGCAGCAGCTGTCTTCCAGGAGACAGCTGCTGATGGACAATGGTGGTGGGTGTGACATTCTCCACGGCAGACAAGACTTGGCGCCYGCAACTCCGCCACTGCACTGGGAAGAAGCCCAGGGGTTGGGATTTGTGCAGCRGCAAGGACACATGGGAGGCTGATTGTCCCTAACTGGGACTCTCGTCTTTCCTCTTTTCTTCCCTCTTTACACCTGGCTTTCTTCTCCTCCCTTCTGGGGCCAAAGAGATCCATCACCCGCTTTAAGGAATGAAGAGGAATAAAGACCAGGCAACTAGCAGATCCAGGGGTCTCTCCACGCCTGTCTGTCGCTGGACCCTCTCTGTCCACCACTGTGGACTTGCTTCCCTTTAAAAGAAATTCCCAACAGACACAGTGGCCACACTCTGAGAAAACCCAGCGTCCCCTTCTCCACCTCCCAGGGCTGCCTCCTCTGCCCCAGCGCTGCGACTGGAATGGAAGACATACAGAAGCAGCCGTGTCCAAGTGACACCTGCAACCACGTCTGTAAGTCTCGGCTTCCAGAGTAGACCCAAGACCTCCTATAGGACTACCTGGGCCCTACCCCAGCTCTGGGGACACTGAGAGATTATACAACACGTAGGAAATTAAGATTTCCAGGAACCACATGAACTGGCAGCTGACCTGATTTGTCCTTTGGCCCCTTCCCTTCCTCTGAATGCCTGCGTGGAGCCTGCTGCCCACCTGACACTTCAGTGAGGCCTCAGCAGCCTCCAGGGAATAGCACGAGTCACTAATGATGCCAGCCATTGAAAATGGCACTGCATTCCCTTAAGGTCCTCACACCCCATGTTCAGATTACCAGGGACCCATTCTGAAATGATCAGGGCCTCCGAGAGGAAAACGAAGACCTGGCTCCTCTTGCCTTATCCTAACCCTCGTCAGTGAGGATGACACAAGAGTCACTAAGGAACAGGGACGCTGAGGCAGTGGACCTGGGTAGAAAGCGAGGAGGAGGTTCCCAAGGCAGAGGTCTGCCCTGGGAGAGTGAGGCCACCCCCAGCATGCTTCATCACCACGGCAACAGCCACCTCTGCAGCAAGGCCCACCCTGCCCTGAAGGTGCGACTGGCCACAGGTGGAAGGCAGGTCCTCCAAGTTTCTCATCGAGGAGTGCGCTTACCACTGTCCAGGGACAAACCAGGCCAGGCTGGAACCACCCTCCTGCAGCCCCCTGGGTCCACCATGCTGCTCAACTCCAGGCAGACGGGATGGAGCTGCCACTGGGGACACAGCATCTTTCTGAGCTGAGAGGCCCCTGGGGTGGTTCCGGGGTAGCCACGGTGAGGGRCGATTGGAATCCCACGGAGGCTCCCTCCTCTGCCTTCGGGGCAATCGTGCTGACAGGTGCGAAGGAAGAGCCTAGAGTCGTTTAGCCCAGGGATTCATCCAGGGATTCATCAACTGCTCGGAAACAGGCGGTCCCAGGTTTGAATCTAAGTTCTGTATACTGTGAGCAGATGTACTTTAATTTCCAGAAACTCTCTTGAAAAGACAAAATGGATGAAGACATTTCAGACAAGGGAGACCAGCATCTCCCAGCTCTGATCCCGACACACACAGTGGGCCTGAGTCTTCATCCTGACAAGCCCCTCCTTGGCTCCCTGGCCAAGACAGGCTTCTGCGGTTACCCCATGATGTAAAAGCTTCGTCTCCGGCAGTAGGACAAGTGCTTTCCCGTTTTTCTCTGTGGTGGCTGTTAATTGCTATTTTTCCTGATGGCCTCCCTAGGAGTGCTGGGGCCTGAGGTCTCTCTCCTCTTGACCGGTGGCACTAGGAGGGGCCGGGCCCTTGTGTAAGAGCCAGGGGTGATTCTGCCACATGGTTCTCTGCAGGTTCCTGCCTCCCTCCCTCCCTTCTCCAATCTGCAGATGCCCCAAGAGTGTTAAATGACTTTATTCTATAAAGTAACTCGGTATTTTATAAATGTCACTTGCGTTCCTCGGGAGCGCAGTGTGAGGAACGTAGCTGTCCTGCGAAGGTCCCCACGAGGCAGCGTTCTGCTGCAGCAGGGTAAGCGCTTCGTAGGACGTGTTCAGACAGGGAGAAGGTTCTGCATGGAGCCTAAGAGACCCGGGCCATGGAGACCTCATGTTTTATTTAGGAAAACGAGGTTTTGATCTAGAAAGTGATGTCCCCACCTGCCACATCCAGCCCTGCTCTGACAGGGCAGCAAAGGCTCTCGGGAGTTGAAGGGGAAGCCAACTTCCTGTGGAAGTGGGAGGCAAGGCTGATTTTCCACAAACGTCCATGAAGCTGAGGCGCATCACTGCCTTGCCAATCCCGAATGCAAGGTGGCAGGGCAGGAGTCCTCAGTAATGGCTAACAAACTGGCTGACGTAAAGCATTCACACCTGATCCTTCTGCAGGAGGACGGCGTGGATGAGGCGTGGCCTTCTGTCCCTCACTGTGGACAAGCCAGATCAGGACATCTACAACCCACATGAAGCTCCAGTGGGAACCCGGTGCTGCTGCCCGGCTCTGGCTGCATCTGTGCGTGGGCTGGAATCGCGCGGCAGCCACTGTGGAGRCGACCAGCTGTTCCCCTCGCTGCACATGTGTCCCCTCGTAAACCTCCCCGCAAGCTGGCGGCTTCGCACTCCTCACTTAGCTTTGTTTGTGTTTTCAATGAATCAATGGGATATGGAGACTAATCAGCATATTTAGAAAAATAAAGAAAGAAAAAAGAACTGCTCCGGATGCCGGCTGTTCCCTGAAGCTGGGTGAGAACTCAGCTACGCCGTGGGCCTGGCGCAGGAGAGCTGCTGGGGGACCAGAGGGAGCCTGGAGCAGAGGTCAGGCAGGGCAGTGGCGGACAGGAGTCCTCAGGGTGGAAATAAGATTTCTGACTGGAGGCTCTCCTGAGCCAAGAGGAGGCCTGCGCTCATCAGCCTGCTCCTCCCCTGCCCTCCCTGTACCTCCCAGGCCCCTCCGCTGCTCCACCAAGTCGCAGCATGAGCTGTTCCCAGGGCCTTCTCTTCCCAGTCGTCCCACTCCTCGTGCCCTGATGTCTCTCTCACAGGCTGCCCAGAGGCCTCCCGAGAACGAGATGGGATGTCCCCTGCCTCAGCCCTGCTGGAATGTGATGCCTGCACCCTCTCTCCTCCTATTAGACGGGAAGCACTGCATGTGGAACCTGTCCCTGACTCTGTCCCCAGCCCCAGACATGGGGCTCCGGGTCTGGACGCCGACGGACTATGGTGGAATGCAGGGAGTGGAGGATGGCTCGGCGACCCCCCCGCACCCAGCTGGTCCCTTTCTCTCTTTTTACCATCCATAACAACTTGGCTTATAATAGTCAAAATCCAGAAATAACCAAAATGCCCTGTAAGTGACAGCAACAGGAACTGGCACAACCGCATGGCAGTACACAGGACCAACGGGGAACTCTCGCTGCCGCTTGCAGCGGGCTGAGGAATCTCAACGCCTTCTAGTGGGAAAGCGGATCCCAGAGGTGGCTTCCTAATGACTCCCCTGATGGGATTCTCGTGACAGAGGACAGGAGGTGGTGGCCAGGGGAGTGTATTTCCGACTCACAAGGGCAGGCCACGGACCTGCCGGGCCCAGATGGGAAGAGGGAGACCAGGGGAAGCAGAGGAACATTTTGCAGGGATTGAGAGAAGCGGGCTGTTACCTGAGCTCACGCAGCCCTGCTGGAGCGGGTCCTGCAGAGATGTYGCCGAGTGGAGGGCTGGAGAAGAAGGGAAAGGGGTGTTAGGGGAGGGCGGCCAGCAGAGCCTCCTAGCTGAGTGGGCTGAGGCAGGGGAGCAGAGGAGGCCCGGCCTGGAGGAGGCTGGCTTCTCACAGCTCATGCCAGGGCCCGGCCGGGACAGGACAGGGTCGTTAGGCCTGGAGAATGCTGCCCACCAGAGCCAGGTCCTGGGCTGGGAGCAGGAGGAGTCGGCGCCTGGGGCACTTGCTGCTGTGCCTGTGGCTGCTTTTCTTTCCGATCCCTGATTTAGCCACTTGACTTTACCTGTATTTATGTATCAACAGCACTTTCTTAATTGGCAACTCATTTTCTGCTGCTTATAAAATTAGCCAGGCACCATCTTTYTGCTCCTAAAAACCCGCTCAGTCCCGTGGCAACAGGTTTGGAGGAGGGGTGTGCTCTCCACCTCGGGGGCAGCCAACAGCTGATGGGGAGCTGGTCCCTTCCTGGCCCTCACAAGGGGGCTGGCCGCCTCCCCCGCAGACCCTTCCTTCCCAGCCTGCTCCAGCAAGCCGCCTCACCTGGCCCTTGCTGCTGGCCCTGCACGGGCAGCACACCCTGGCCCAGCTCGCCGTTCAGCCACAGCTGCATCCGGATGAAGGGTTCCCGGCCCTTCTGGGTCAGCTTGCTCCAGGGCTTCGGCCGGGACAGCATGTCACTCACACTGCCCTGGGACAGGCCCAGCACCTGTAGTGGAACCAGAAAGACACGGTGGTGGGTGCTCGGGCAGTAGYGTGATACACACATGGTGGGGGTGGTGCGGTGAGCACAGTGCCGTGGCCTGGTGGACGGTGATGGCCAGGGGAACAAGTTTTGTAAGATCCCTGGGGGGCTAATGAGCTGGCATGGGGTGGGGCTCTGGACAGGTCATCTCCAGTCAGCTCCCAGGAACAGGTGGTTGGGATGGGAGGCTTGTCCCCCAACACAGGAGGAAGCACTGGAAAGAAGGCTCTCTGGGGGCCACAGGAAAAGCAGGGTACTGGGCAGAGGGCCTGAGAGGCAGGAGTGGGGGTGCCGGAGGGACAGGGAAGGCAGGCTGCTTTGTTAATGCCGAGCCGGGATGGCACTTAGAAAGGGCCAGTCTCCCTCGTCACACCCTGCTCACAGGTCGGGGCAGAGGTGAGTCGGAGGGGCCGGGGAGCCGGTGTGGGAGGGACACTCGTGGCAGACGACGGATGAGCCAGCACACACCGAGTCTTCTGCTCCCATATGGCCATACATATGCATGGGCACCACACCCCCCCAGGACACAGATGCAGCCCAGGGATATTCAGGGGCTGCATCCCATCATTCTTTCAAAAAGTTCTCAAGTTCCAGAATAAACTGCACTCATGGGCCAAACAAGCCCCACACCATTAAGTCTCTGCTAAATTTAAGGCTTGAGCACAAATGTCTATTTAAATGTTCTTGAACGATATTTTTACTACACTGAACTAGAAATCTCAAGGGACTTTGGATTCCCATCCCCATTTCTATGTGTCCCCATCACCTTTGCAAAATCAGGGTGAAGAGAAGAGTTCACTCTCAGCTGTTGTACCCTGCAACAGTGTGATACCCTGCAACCCGTGGGCTGAAGGCAAGGTGGGGTGGGTGGGGCGGCCAGCTGTGGCCAGCACTCCATCACTACCTGATCTAAGCTGCTGCTACAGATGGTGGTAAATCCCCACCATCCAGATTCTGTCACCAGGGTGGTGCCAAGAACAGAAAGGTCTAGAAGCCCACTCACAGATGATCCCATTTCCACGAACCGAGGAGGAACAATGTGGAAATAAGGGCAGGCCCTGGCAGTTTGCTGGTGCCCCCACAGGGGTGTATTCTTGGGCAAGTTGTCCCAAGTGCCTTTCAAGCTGCAGCAGAAAGGAAGACCTACGCTTCATGCAGGTTTCTCTATTAAGTCCGCTGAGGCTCTCTGCAGGCTGTTGGCCCTCTGTGTGACCTGCCCAGATCAGACCTTGTTTAAGTCAAAATAGCCTGCAAAGGTGCCACCTGGCTCCACCTGGCAGTGGAGGTGCTACCTTCCTCGAGCCTTAGCTTCGTACTTCCACCCACCCCCGGAGTAGTGAGAGGCCCAGAGGAGGGTACAGTGAGGCCGAGCCCAGACCCGGCCACGAYAGGGCTTGGCATGTGGAACCCAGGCAAGGAACAGCTGCTAGCTGGCTTCTGTGGTTTGAGTGGGAAGCACATGGTGTGTGGTCAATTATGATGGTGGTGGCCATCCTCTAGGGTGGGCACTAGTCCTGAGCCACAAGAAGGAATGGGAACCCGGTTCCAGTGGAATTCCTTACCTTCTCCCCGAAGATCCTTTGGCAGATGCCATTCTTGGCCAGCTTCTCCTTGACCTGCCGGGTGAGCTCGATGGTGTCCACCTCCTGGTACATGTAGACCTCGTACTGCTCAGGGGTCAGTGGAGGGACTGAGGGCTTCGCGGGCTTTGCCATGGGCACGATTGGGGAGGATGGCAGGGGGCTGTTCTGGGGTGTTTCGCTGCGGCTGGCTCCAGCGACGCTCAGCTCTGAGCTCTGGGAGTACGGGGACTCGGCACTCGGCCACTCTTTCCAGCACTCTGATGATGACGAAGGTCCTGGGAGCTGGCTGCGCTCGGCCCTGGGCTGGCCACTGACCCTTTCTCTCCCGCCCCCAGTTTCTTCGGCCTTCGGCTCCTCGGAGGAAGGGGGGTTTCTCCTCTCAGGCTGTACCGGGCTCCACCAGTGGTCCTTCCACCCGCTGCCGCGGCCCAGCTCGCTCTTCACGTGCCTCAGGACCCCTTGTGCAGCATCAGCTGCTCCCTGAGGGTCCAGCCCGGGCACATCCTGGGCCTCCTTTTTGAGGGCTGGGGCACTGGGCAGGGCCGGGGCACTGGCCTCGGGGGCGGTGGGCGTCTTCTTCAGGGAGATAGCGAGAGGAGAGTAACCGGGCACGGTGGGCATGGGTGCGGCCGACAGGAGCTTGGGGGTCAGGAGGGCGAGGTCAGGCTGGGACAGCGGCGCTGGTTTTAAGGCAGGGTCTAGGGCGGCCTGCTGGGCCTCCATTTCCCGGCGGGCTTGCTGCAGGATGGAGCGGATGGCATCGTCAGAGTTCCCRCTGCTGGATGCGGAAGACGGCTGGGCTGGCTCTGCTGGGTGAGGCAAGCACAGGGGTGAAGTTGTGGTGGCCTGCCCCGGCTCTGCCGTCACTCCTCTGAMCCCCACCCAGTGCCCACACAGTGGGACCACACGGCCACGTTCCCCGCACCCTCGGGTTAGTGTGACGTCTGTGTATCTCATCCAAGACCAGCACTCTGGCTCCACCGCCTGCTGGCCTCTGCCACACACAGCTGGAGTTCCTACCACAGTGTGACCAAGGGGGAGGCCTGAGACACTTGGGGACATGCCCTTCTGGGCTCCTTCTCTTGGGGAATCTTAAACTTGACATGAACTCTCTGGAGCTGTCCCACGGGTCTTGGGGTCTGTCCAACTCCAGACGCACGGCTGCTGCGACTGTAGCCAGGACCAGGGTCTCCCAGAGGTCAGTGGCCACAGCTGTGAACCTCACCAAGGGGCAGTGGCAGGGGTGGCAGTGCATTTCAGGGGAAGTTGCTGGCCCAGAAACCTGGAGAAGTCCTAAGGCATCGGTGGGCCTCAACATGTGTGTGTGTGGAATGGCCGATGGACCAAATGGACGACCAACTCGGGCTCCCTAAAATGTGTGTGCCTGGGCTGCTCCTGGTGTCTGGTGGAAGCAGGTGTGGGGCCGGCCCAGTGTCTGTAGACCATTGGCTCCCGGGGACTGTGGGTGGCAGTGCTGGCTGAGAGCCATTGGACAGGGTGCTCTTCAGGAGGTCCCTGGCTCTGTCCCATGTTCCCTGAATCGTGCACCTTTTAGGAGAGGAATCCTAATAGCTTTGAAGGGGGTAATCCTTTCTGCTTTAAAGGAAGCCTAGGGATGTCAAAGTAACTGTAAGGATATCTTTCTTTGGTCCTGAGCACTACACCCAGGGACTTGCGCATGCCGGGCACACACCCTGACACTAAACTACAACAGTGCCTAATTTAAAAATTTTTCAGACAGGGTCTTGTGATGTTGCCCAGGCTGACCTCAAACWTGTGATCCTCCTGCCTCAGCCTCCCAAATAGCTGGGATTACAGGTGGGCACCACTGCGCCTGGCCAGCGACAACTCCTGACCTGTGAGACGGCCCTTCTCCAGCTCAGGAGGGCCAGATGGCACCATAGATGAAGGGACTGTGGGGTGGGGAGGAGTGGGTGATGAAGGGTGCCCACTGTGCCCTGGGCCTTCTTTCCTCTTGGCCCTGTGATATTGCCCTGCTGAAGACCCTGGCCCTCTAGCTACTGTAGTGACACAGGCTCCCGGCTCCACTCTGGCCAGAGCAAGGTCTATGCTGGACTGAAAGTTTCATCCACTGCCAGGATGGTGTCCTCTCTCTCTGGGGGCCTTTAGCAGAAGGCGGATGGCACTGGACTTGAGAAACCAGAGTTTCCATCAAGTTGTCCTCTGATGAACTTRGGCAAACCATTTTAACTGAGGCTGAGCTTAATCAGGAACAATGGGATGACAACATTTGTCCTCGGGGTTCTGAGGACTCTGCTTGAGCAGAAGGCAGGGGACATGCCCAGCCCAGGCCTGGGCCTCAGGAGGGAGCACTGAGCTGAATGTGCTGTGGAGAGGAAGGCTGAGTGACCAGGCCAGGAGCCAGCGGGGGAGCCCATGCTCAGCTGTCACAGCTCAGCCTGGCGGGACCCTGAGGCGGGTTGTGGGGGCGGTGCTCTGCAGAGCGGGGTTCATGGGTCAGAATGGGTGGCATGGGAAGGGGACTCCCTCCTCTCCTCTGCCGCAGCATGGAGCACCTCCCTGACATTCAAGGCTCAGCCAGAGAAAAGCTGGAACAGGCTTGGTCCTCTCAGAGGACACGCTTCACGGGCTCCCAGTCTGGAGGCAGGTGGCAGAGTGGACCCCACCCCAGGGGCGGTGGCTCCTGTCAGTCACTCAAGGTCTGCAGCTGGGAGGGCTTCTTGTCGCCCACTCTGCTTCAGCTGCAGTGGCTCCAGCGTGATGGAGGGCCCAGTGACCAAGGCCCACCCTGCACTGAGGAGAGGGAGTCTGACACAGCCTGCCTGCAGGTTTAAGTTGAGCAGATTCCAGGCCAGAGRGACTTCTTGAGTCATTCTTGAGAATGACATTAAAAGAAGTGGGGTAATCTGGCGCCTGATGGACCGCTGACCGGCTCCTCTCTGCACACACCAAATGCGTGAAGACATGCAGGCTACTATTTAGAGAGTGAATTACTGCTGACCACGACGCTCAAGACGGGTCTTTTAATTAAGCTGGGAAGATGGAGGCTGAGGAAGCGGGACCATACCAGTTTTCTGTACTTGAAGCTCCCTCTTGGCTTGTTCCAGGATGGACTTGATTGCTTCATCGGAACCAGTGTCAGAGGCTCGGATGCGGGTGGTGATGTTACCTGTGGGGAGAAGCCACAGCAATGACATCAGATCCAGACTCTGTGTGCAAGATCAGAGCTGCAAGAAGACATTCTGATAACGGGCCCGAGCTGAGGCTGGTGACGTGAGGAGGCAGGCGTGGCCTCCCGCAGCCTGCACTGGCAGGAGCGCGACCTCACAGCTGTACCCAGCTGCTGGGCAGGAGGCTTCCTGCCGAACCTGCCTCCTGGGCTCCTACATCACCTGAGCTGGATGTCGCCCGGGGGTGGGGGAGCTGGGGGTGGTACCAGGGGAGAACAGACCATTTAAAGCACTACAAAAAAAGACGATATATTCTAAGGCAATATTTTCATGAGTCATTTAAAAGCATCTCCAACAACTGCTTTGGCTTGGGACTATATTTGGTCTCTGTATTATTTTTCCCAAACAGGGAAGGATGGAAAAGGGTGGAGGYTGAGCCTCCATCAATCATTCAGATGCACCAGGTGAAGAGCCACAAGGCTGAACTTGAACTTTTTTTGGATCTATGACCACACACTGTCTTTTTTGGAAATTTACAGACAAGGAGAGAAGGCTGCAGATTCCTAAAGGACAAGACCATGTTGTTACAGTCACAGGGTGGTGCTCACAGAGCAGCCACACACGCAGATGCCCTGAGCGGCTGAGGCCCGGGGCTGGCCACAGGTCCCCTGGAAGCTGCCCAGGCATTTTACTTGTTCATCACCTGACTCTACATGAAGCTCCACAGTATACCGTTGAAAAGCAAGAACATCACAGGACGAAGCCCCATTAACTATTCGACTCCCAGGAGCCAGGAGGGGGTTGGCTTGCCCAGGCCCACAGGACAACCAACTGCATTTGGAACCTGTCCACCACATGGGACCTTTGACATATTTGAGTTAAAAGTTGCGGGAAGCAGCAGTACTGGCTCGATGTGATCACCTGATTTTTCTCAGAGCAGTAACTATTATTCTTCCTCCTGCTTCTGAGAAAACAGGTACAGTGGAATTGGAATCAAGGGGGGCTGGTGCTTGGGGACTAACCTTGGGGACACCCCTTCTCACGTGGTCTGGCTCAGTAGAGCGCAGGCAGCTCAGGAGGAGGGGGCTGCTGGGCATCTGAACCCGTGCTTTGTTTTATACTTACTAGCTGTTTTTCCATCAGGTTCCAGGCCAGAATGACACTGCACAGTTTTAACCCAAATGCACAGCTAAGGACATGCTGCTTCCTAGGTTACTGACTGCAAAGAGAAACACCTGCCTGCGACATACCTTCAGACCCATTTCTTCGTTTCGGTACTTCCTGAAATAGTCTGTTCAGGCTCTGGCCTGGATTCTCTGTTGAAAAACAAGTGCGGTAAGAACAAAACAATCAGGGGAATGGTGGCGTCGACGACATGGCTGCGTGACATGAAATCTGAGCCGCCTGTTGCTAAAGAGAGGGCTCTGGGCTTCCTGTGCAACTCGGGAGCTACAAGAAACTTCTAACAGGCCCTTCCCTGGCTGACCGGCCCGTAGAGGCCACTGCTCACCTGCAAGAGGAGGCTAACAGACCTAAGTAGTGGCAAGATATTGCCACCCAGAGGGCCTAAGGGAGGGAGAGCTGCCTCCAAGCACATCACCCGCCAGCCCAGGACCGAGCCTTGCAGCCACTGTCCAGAGACACTTGGTTAACATCACTAGGGTGCTTGGCATTCGTGGGGCACATGGATGTTGCTTGGACTGTCTCCCTTCTGGTTGAGTCTACATGTCAGAGTGTTTCAAATGAGGCTGATAAAGTCCTCACCTTGTATCACTGTTGAATTGGCACAGGGACTTCCTGTCCCTAAAGAGGGAAAGAACTCCTCTTATTAGGATGAGACTGGCTTTTTAATCTTTGTATGAAAGGCAGGGTAGGAAAGGTGTTTGAGTAAAACTGCTGAGTATGTTGCTCTTGGCAGGCATGTTTTGGTCATGGTGYTAGAAAAATGACTAATGGGACATAAGGTGACCACAGGACAGGTCCTCCCTGATGGGCAGGAAGAGGAGAGAGGCAGCTTCCATAGGCTGGACTCACAGCCAGTGCTGCAAGGACAGGGCCTGGTCACTGCTGCTGCTATGGGGCTGTTTGCTATGGGGCTCAACGGCTCCAGGGGCTGCTCCCAGTGGAAGCCCAGTGCCCAAGGCCAATTGCACCAGGCCACTAAGCTGCCGGATGTTGTAACATAATTCCCTCCAGGTCAGTGCGTAGCAGCGGAACACTAAATTCACTAAGAAGGTGCTGAGCGGTTTCCAAGGCCAGCTCTCCCCAGTCTAATGGCTTAGCTCATGCCGGTCCTCCCTTGAGCTCTGGAAATGGTACCTCTGCAAAGAGTTTTACCTGATGTGATGCACAGATGTTTGTCACACGCACAGACACACACGCACACACACACAGCCTTGTGACGGGCTCGCTCACAGGCGCCAACCCCAGCGTGGCTCTCACCTCTTTGTCTGCCTTGGATGCTGCGAAGAGCCAAGATGTTCTGCTCGTCTGAGAGGAACTGCTTCATCTTGTGGAACGGCTCCTTGCCGCGGACGGTCAGCTTATTCCATGGCTTCGGCCGGGCCAGGATCTCACTCACAGACCCTTGAGACAGTCCCAAGACATAATGTCCGAAAATGCGCTGTCCGATATTGTGCTTGATCAGCTGCTCTTTGACCTGTCGGGCGATTTCTGCAGTGTCTATCTCCTCGCCCTCGGAGACGCTCCCAGCACTTTCTGACTGGCTGGGGGATGGGGCCATGCCATTTACGTCTGGGCTTTGTTGTAATGGACTTTGGGAAGATATGGAGTTTGTGCTGTATGGACCTGTTGAAAAAATCATGCTTGTGCTTCCTGCTTCCTGCATGGCCTTGGAGTAGAAGGACTGCATGAGCTGCCGCTGGAGGAGAGAGTTTAGTGCAAATTTTCCTGTAGAAGCCAGGGGCAGGCTGGGGCTTGCCAGGGATGAGCTGAAAAAGTCTTGACTTAACCCCGCTGGTGAGAACTGGTGTGTACCATTAGTATTGGAAGCCTGCTCCCCCGCGTTGCGGGACAACTGAGGAGGAGGGGAGGCCGGCAAGGGTCCAGGGCGCCGACTCTCAGGCTGGTCTTTCCCTTTTCTCCTGGCTGACCCTACAAGGAAGGGCAAACAGAATGCATTATGGGGGATTCAAAAGGGAAAAAAAACCAAGACCAGAATGCAAAGTTTGCCCCACAAAAGGGAAAAAAAAAGTGCAGATTTTACAAGGGCCAATGAGGTGTGTTGGTTTGTTTTCGATTGAATTTGTAATCAGCCAAACACGGCCCCCCAACACAAGCCACATGCATTCATGTTTGCGCCTTTCTTGTACGTTGCAGCCTGGAGAATCCCCTCGACAACAGTTCAAACTGCTAGAGTGACAAGGAGCCGGTAACACACAGGGAAGTCGACAGGTCGCACTCACGCTACCCCGAGGGCCCTGCCTGAGGAGCAGCAAACACTGACACTCGGGGACAGTGGGGTCGCGCCCACCACGCTCTGAGGCGAATGCACCGCACCGAGTCCACTCGATCGAAGGCACGCACATGTAAGAACGCAATAGCATCGGAGCCCAGAACCTTTACACGGTTTACCAGCTGCCAAACCAGAAGCACAGTCAGTGACGCCACCACTTTGGGACCAGCAAAGAAAGGCTAAGGATGGGGGACACGTCCCCAAGGAAAACCTGACAAAGGAAGAAAAGCGCCACTGAGCCTAGGAGGGCGGGTGGCCCTTTGAGCAGCCCCTGGAGACCCCCGAGAGAGGTCGCGCTCGATTCTGCCCTGGCCGGATCGCAGCACCACTAGGAAAAGACCGGAAAGCAGYGTCCTCGGCCGCCCCTCCAGGATCTCGCAACGCTACCCCAGCTGCCCTCCGCAGCTCGCCGTGCGCGCATCGTGTCGCAGGGTGGGGACGCCCAACACAMGGGCTCAGGCGGGGCTCTCCTCAGCCGGCTGCGCCCCCGCCATGCATGAGCCCCGACTCACGGTCACCCTCGGCTTCCTCGACCCCTGGAAGCGAACCAAGCACCGCACGTGAGGCCCCGCGCACCTACCGCTCAGGTCGCTGTTGGAGACGCGCAGCGCYGTGTTCTCCGACTGCAGGGAGCGGCTCTTCTCCAGCAGCAGCACCTCCAGGGGCTTGGCTGCATCCTGGACGGGGCAGAGCAGGGCTCACCACGGGGCCAGTCTCCCGAGGCCCGGGACCCGCCCCCTGCTCCCCACGGACCCCCACCTTTCAAGGTGTTCAAAGGGCGCTGAACACCTTCACGCCCCCTTGAAGAAAGAGTGAATTTCTGGTGAGGCAGTTTTTCTTCCTAGGCTCATCTGGCTTCTAGACAATTAGTCATTCTCTATTCTGTCCCCAAACTCCAGCAGTCTAAGCTGGGGCCTCAATCAGCAGCAGGACTAGGGCACAACCGCTGTGAGAAAGCAATTGTCAACTTTCTTGTGCCAGCCATGATGACGTGTGCTGTCTTCTGGGAATTAGGAGCAAGATTCCACTTATGTTGTAATTTAAAAAAATGAATTTTTAGGGTCTCCCTGTGTTGCTATGGCTGAACCTCAATGCCTTGGCTCAGACCCTCCTGCCTCAGCCACCTGAGCAGCTGGATTAAGGCATGAGCAGAGGTATCCAGCTTCACTATGTGAATTGTAGGCGGCTACAGATGACAGGCTGCTGCTGTCACCCAGCCCCCACACCTTCTGGGGCGGTGCACAGGGACTGCGCCTGAGCCCACCTACTGGAGGTTGATCTCCAGCTCAACCTGAAGTGGTTTTACTTGTGGACTTATGGGTGCTGGGAAGGGATCTCAGGCCTCAGGTTGCTCAGTGCTCCACTACTGAACCGCAGGGCCGCCCAGGGGGCTTCTTGTCCCTGTCCTCAGGGCCCACCCAGGTGAGACCACACCTCACTGGCACCAGTCAGCTGTCTGCAAAGTGCTAACTTGCTCCTTTTAATTAAGGATTGTCTGCTTTCAGTGGCCTGAAGTTTCTTGAAGAACGACTCCTGGAGGTAAGTGAGAGGCCTCACATGGGGGGGGGGGCAGTGCAGTGTCATGGGCCCTGAGCAGGAATGGAGAGGTGTACCTGCGTCCCAGCTCCCTCAGCCGGCGYGAACTCCATGGACTTCAGGATACTGAAAGAGCAAGACAAGACACTGTTTTCTACTCCGACCTTTGATCTGCCACACTGGAGAGCATCAGCACCACCATCTCCTGCTCTCCAGGAACAAGGAACTGACAGCTTGAACAGTGTCCCTGGCAGGAATTTAATCTGATAATGTCTCTAGAGTAACTAGTATTCAACTAGCAGTTGGCTAGCGAAACTTTTTTGCCCAGCATGTAAATCATTCCATATGGAGTCACACCAGGTCTGTGCCGAGCAGGATTTTAAAGTTTAATACAGACATCACGTTGCTGCTGCGAGTGGAATGTATTTGTAAAGCTTAAAGGGAAAGAAAGTTCTCCCAAGGAAGCCAGAGAGGGGAACTCACTACCCACTGGCTACTGCCCATGTCCTTGCTAGGCAGCCACTGGAGATCTGGGGAAACAGACCAAGATGGCTCAAAGGCCAGGTGAGCACCCCCTCTGTAGCCCCAGATCTGGGAAGGAGCCCAGAGGCAAAGGTGTGGTGATGGGAGGCTTGCCACTCCCCTGTCCTGGGCAGCTCTGACCCTACGGTCACTTGGGCTCCCGACTCTCCACAAGCTGGGGCTGAGTGAGGTCTGGCCCTCAGAACTGCTGTTTCTCCCATTCCTTTCTTTTTGCCAGGACCAGGAAGGAAAGGGGAAGCGAGTCTGTGGGGTCCACGGGAGCTGCCAAGTGCTCGGCCCGGGTGGGCCGGCTACTGGGGAGGTCACTATTTGCAGGGATACAGTGAGTCCACAGGCCCCTCCGGCATCCTGCAGCCATGAGCCCAGCTTCCGTCCATCTGAAGCCCCACGAGATTGTCATCCAGACACCAGAACGTGGGAGGATGCTGCCATCAGGGCACAGGGCCCGGAGCCTGGAGGCCACCCTTGGCCATGGCCATGGGTCAGTTAAGAGTCAGCCCCTAGTTCATCTGTACCTCTGCAGRGATCCTCGCCATGTAATTAACAAACACAGGGATGAGGGACAGCTGGTAACTTTATCCTGTGTTACTGAAAATAATAAAAGAATTCTGGACCCCTCGGGTCACACAGCACAGGTCACGAGTGGCCAGGACACATTCCTCTGTCCTCAGAGGGCTTCATGGCACTCACAGTCACACATCTGCCCCTTGTTTGACATCTTCTAGGATCGTGTGATGAAAGGCTAAGCCAGTCCGTAAGTTCATACAGGCTGAGCATCCTAAGTCAGAAAACCAGAACCCTTTGAGTGCCCCAAGTGGCAAATTCCATGCTGTGGAATTTAATTTCATGCCCAAAATTATTAAAAATATCGCATAAAATTACCTTTGGGCTACATAAAGAAGGTGCGTATGAAACAAATGAATTTCACATTTAGACTTGGGTCTCCTGCCCAAGGTATCTCAGTATGTATATATAAATATTTCAGAATTCAAAATCCAGAATACACCTGGTTTCAAGCATTCGAACAAAGGATACCCAACCTGTACTGAAAACACGAACATCTCTACGTTTATATTCAACAAATATTTCTCAATCACCTGTTGTGTGCCTGGCACTGTGGAAAGTCAGAATTTTCTGAGTCCTGACCTACATACACCCAAGGAAATGTGCAGGCAAGAAGCAGGGTGGCCTTGGCAGGAGGAGCAGGAGGTTTTACAGGCCACTCCCGTGGGTGGACCCGGGAGAGAAGGCACAGCCTGTGGAGGCAGTGGGAGGTGGGGCTGGGACAGGGAGGGGAAGGAGACTTGGGCCTGTGTCCAAGGGCACCTGGTTTATCAGGAAGAGGGAGGTCAAGAGCACATTTCAGCAGAAAAGTTCCCTAAGAGGAGCTTTCAGACCCGGATGCAGTGGTGGGGGCCATGGTCAGATGCAACAGAGGGCTGCTGAGAATGGACAGGCAGACCAGGAGCCTCAGTACCAGAGGATGGGGTGGAGGACCAAATCCCAGGGTGAGAGGGCAGGGACTGGCCAAGGCCATCACAACACACTGGCTCAAAGCTAGAAGGTCCAATTTCTTCTTCTTCTTCTTCTTTTTTTTTTTTTTTTTAATATTTTTAAGTCAACCATGTCAAATGTGTCCCTGAGCTGAAATGGGGTGGGGGCAGTGCAGTACTGCTGGGGCTAGAACCACAGAGGGTCAAAAGGTCCATCCAGAGGTGCCAGTAGAGGTTTTCTGCAGCCTGAGAAGGGTCACCTGTGCTGGTACAGGAGCCCAGGGGAACAGCAGAGTTCGGGAGGATGGTGTGAGAAAGAGAAGGTCAAAGAGGCCTGAGGGAATGGAACGGTTAGAAAACAGGGGACATAGGGGGATGGCCACTTAAAGGAGAAACTGAAAATSTCTGCAAGACAGAGAGTGGCTGACAGAACCAAGGAGCAGGCAGGAGGGGGGAAGGAGGGGACAGAGGCCCAGGTGGAGGGGTCACTTGGAGAGATGGGAGGTGGAGCCCAAGGAGAGGAGGAGAGATTCTGGCACGTGGCTGGCACAGTCCATGAGGCAGAGGATTAGGGCACCTGTGCAGAGGCCCATCAGGGAGCAGTTGGGGTAGAGCAGAGGAGGCCATGGAACCCCGGAGCTGCTGAGGCTGGCCCCACACCACGGTGAGACCCACGCATCTGTGCAGGCCGCTGGGAACACCGTGGCAACTTCCCTGCAGCACTGCGTGAGAAAGAATGGTGGAAACCAAGGGAAAGGTCAAGGGAACTGTGGGCACCAAGGGCTGTAGGCTGGGGTAGGCTAGGACCTGGGAGCTCCAGGGTCCAGGAGGGAGCTGGCCCGAGCAGGGAACTGAGCTTGAGGGTGGGTATCAGCACTGGGGGATGACCAGCTCCCAGCTGAGGCCTCAGAGGGGGATGGAGTCTGGGAGGAGGAGGCCCTGGTGGCGGGAGGCCACGTGCACTTTCGAGTGGAAAATATCCCCGTCCTCACCTGCCTGCTCAGGGGATTTATACCTGTGAGACAAACTCCAGGGTGATCATTTCTATGAAGGTGGTATTTCCCTGAATGTGAGCCCACTGAATACTTTACGTGCACCAAGCCTTACAAAAAGGCCACAGAATTCCAGGAGTGGCCCCAGTGCAAACATCCACAGCGCCAGGCCCAGGACACTGCAGAGGCAGAGCCCTGGTCCGTGTGCGGGCAGCTGCCTGACGCTGCATGACCTGTTAGCAAAGGGTCCCAGCGAGCCCCGTGTGGGAAGGCCCACGGGCATTTCCATACTCACTTCAGTTCTTTCTTCACCTCCTCATAGTCGGCCTGGCCTTTGAGCTTTTCTTCCAGTTGCTGAAAACAGAGAGGAATTTGATTAGTGGTTCCGTCTACAAGTAGGTAGACGATGTCAACGAGCACACTCCTGAAGAACACGCTCCTGAGTGGGGAGGCGACCCTGCACACATGGAGGCCGACAGCCTGGGTGCCATCGTTCTGACATAAAACTGAGGGTGAAAGGAAAAAGCTCTCCTGAGGTGGAAAACAGAACGAGGAGACTTTTATTCTGGACCAAATACCAGGAAATAGCAAACCGAGGCACAGATGGGAGCCCAGCATTCAGAGAGCAGCGTGTTTTCAGCAAGTGTGCTCTGCTGGCTGGTGTGCACAGCGGCTGGGGACACCTTGGCTGGGACCCCTGCTAACAAGACAAGCTCTTTGCTGCTGAGCGTTGACATCACGCAGGCACTGGGAAGAGAGCATTTGTGCTTCTGGAGCCCTGGATGTTGGGATTTGGGGATTGGATACCTGTTTTCTGGGTGATTAGGGGTTTCCCTGAGAGGAGACCTGAGTCCTGCAGGGAGGCCTGCCAGTGACCCTACAGCCCCCATGGTCCTGCAGGGAGGGACAGCACATTGTCAAGGTGTAGTGGTGTCCACAGCCCTGCCAGGCTTTCTTGCTGGGAAGAGCTGTTGGCATAGGGTGGATCAGTGGAGGGCACTTCCTTCTACAAAGGTGCTTTTGGCCTCCTCCAAAGGGAGCCTGCTGGGGCAGCTCAGCAAATGCTGCAGAACCCAGGGCAGGACCCTGCCAGTCCATGCATTTCCAAGTCCATGCATTTCCGGGGCATGAACTCCACTTCCTGAGGTGCCAGTGCCTTCCTGTCTGCAGAGTTTCTAGGTGCTCCTTTAGGCTGTCCTTAATTCAGACCATTCTGGAATTTGGGACGCCCTTCTGGAATCCACAGTGAGAGGCTGTCCTGAGGACGCAGACGCTCTGCAGCCACGTCCACTGTGCCGTCTCCTGCTGCCTCGTCAACAATCTCTTGTGCATTTGTTTTCTGTTGCATAAGATTGCTCTCCTAGTTCCCTTTAAGATTTCTCGCCAACTTTATGTATTATGATGGTTTTCTCAGTCACAATCCAATGGGGGGTAGTAGGCACTCATTTTCCCACAAAAGACTCTCAGAAGGTGCTCCCAAAGAAGTGATTATTCCATTCTCTTGCCTGTAGTCAAGTGGCAGGAGGCACTGACGTGACAGCCCTCCCTCACAGAGAACATCCAGTGTGGCTGAGAAGCAAAACACGTGGCAGAGTGTAGAGCCCACCAAGGCCAGACGTGGACACTGGCCACTGGTCAGAGCCAGAGAGTGGAAGGGACAGAGAAGGGAGGCGAAGGGGCACTGACTCTGCAGCCTGAGACTGCAGCCCCCAGCCATCATGCATAAGCTGGGTGTCTCTGGGCAACTTAATAAGCCTCTCACAAAAAAACAGGAACAACACAAGGACTTCAGAGGCCTCCCCAGGCTGAGAACAGGGCAAGTGTGGCAGCTCTGGTCCTCATGCTGGGGCTGTTACTGCCGGCACACAGATCACAGCAGGTGTGGCTGCAAGTCTCCTCTAAAGACCTGTGACTGGTTCTGATCAAAAGGTTAGGACTGGAATGTGCACATTTTAGACAGTTCTGTCAAGAGCTGAAGAGTATCCACTGACATCTGTGCTGCCTGCCTGGGGCAGCTGGTGAAGAAGGCCCCAGCACCTCTCTTGCCTCCCTCTGATGGCATTTCTTATCTTGGGCAAACAAGCCTGGGGAGGCTGCCTGGCCTACAGAGCACCTACAACCTGACCACCTGGTGGTCTCCTTAGAGAAGACCTTGCTTGGGCATCAAAACTCAAGACCACCCTGGAGGAGGGGGTGGGCCGCAGATTCGGGGCTATGGCAGACCAGGCAGGAGGAGCACACGGCCCCGCAGCAGCTCAGGCCACTAAGTGCAGACAGGCAACGGAGGCAGCGCACGGCCAAGGTCTCTGGGGACTGCGGTATCTTCCCAGAAGAAAGCACAAACAGCCCTTCTTTAAACTAGTGGGCTTCGCTGTTTCGAGAGCAGTGGTATCGGGTAGAACTGCTTGTTTTGAGCTTGGCTCTCTTCCTAGGTGAGCAACTTGTAGTAGGATACTTTCTTGTGATGTGACGCGGGGCAGTGGCAGTGAGCCGCAGCTCCCAGTTAGTGCTGCCGTCTCAAGGGACAACACCCACAGCCCCCAGTGTACTGCAGTGCTGAGCTGTGATGTCTGTCAGGGTACCAGGAGAACTGGGCCTGGCCGTGGACACAGGGGGCTCAAGAGCCAGACTTTGGGCTGCATGTGAGCTTTTGTGACTCAACCTGGGGAGAGGCAGAACTGACAGGGGCTTCTGAAGGACAGTGATGAGGACTCAAAGGACCTGCCGCTCCCCACGACCCCGTCCACACTGTGGCTGAGTCCATCTACGATTCCAGGAACACAGAGGAGCTCAACAGCCCCCTCAGCTGCTAGGACTGTCTATCCTAAAATCCCAGCTAAGACGTAAGTCATAAGCAACTTGATTTAAAGTGCCAAGTACTTGGGCATGCAGCAAGCGAGGCACGCAATTCTAAAAGACTTGTATCTCACTCAAGTCAGAAAACATGGTCCTGGGTGCTTTGAGACTACTGGCAAAGACCTGTGGTGTATCAGACCCCTGTAAGAAGGGCACAGAGGCCACGTCCCTGGGGCCACTGTGGGGGATGGTATTTGCAACACAGCAGCAGAGCTTGGCTCTCTGTAGGCCTTGCCTATACCCCTGCTTTGGGGACACTGCCTCTTTGCACCTCCTTTCCCAGCTGAAGGGAGGCCCTCTCCTTAGGAAAACCCACCCCCATGATTGCTGGGGAGAGGCAGCAGTTACGTACAACTGGGCTCTGTCTATGCTGGCCCCAGGTGAGAAGCCCAGGGTCAGCCTGGTGCCTGGATAGTGAGTCCTTGTCTTTCTGGAACTTTCTGAACACCAGAGCAGATGCTGTGCGTGCTGTGGAGGGTGCTCAGAACACAAGAGGAGGGGAGAGCCACCCTGCCACAGCCAGATGGTGGGGATAGTGAGGGTGACATTGGAGGGCTTGCTCGGACCCTTGGAGGCTCAGGTTAGAGTGGACAGAGAAGCAGGGCCAAGGAAGTGTGGAGGAGGGGCCTCTGCAGAGCAGACAGGTCACCGCTGTCTTTCAGTGGCCATGACCCAGGTCTGACCTGGGCCCTGGGCAGACAGGACCCAACTGCTTGCAGAGCAGGAGGGACCTGGCTSAACATCAGGCCACCTCAATAGTGCTCACCACAGTTGGGGAAGTGGCTACTAAGCTGGGTTGTGTGTGAGCTGCAAGGGTCACTTGACTTGGGGAGCAGGGCCAGGGTGCTGAAGCCCACCACAGACTCCCGCCCCTGATGGGCTCCCCCAGGCACTGCAGAGATGCTCACAGGATTTTACAGGAATCCGCTGATGTCTTGTTCTAGCTGGCCAGAGGCCACCTTGGTTCTGAGATGGCACTCTGGGATTGCCTCCGGGGTGGTCCCCTGGGGCCTCGCCCCCTACAGGCAGGCAGCCCCTGCCTCTGCATCAGGGCCCCACACAACTCCCTCCTCACTCCTTCCTTCCTCAGACCTGCTCTGTGCCTTCAAGACCCAGCGAGGACAGTGCCAGTGGAGTCATGTGCTCTGGCGCCATCTCAGTGACCCTGGGTGACCCTCAGTGATGTTTGATGTCAGAACTAGCATGTGCCACTCTGAGGTTGAGGCTTCTCTTCTCAGTCACCCYGCTGGCTGATGGTGGCTAAAGGGCGCAGTGTCAGACTAAGTCCCCCTCCACAGCCACAGGATGGACACTGGGCCTGGCCTCCCTGAGCAATGACCATCTTCCTGCCCGTTTGCAGGACTAGTGTCCAAAGGGGCTTGGTCATAGACCTTTTTAAAAAGAGGGGTCTGTATCCACGGCTAGAACCTCGTAGAGGGAATCCTGGGCGGAGAACAGCTGGAGCATCAGGCGTCAGGCCCACACCACTGGGTGACGAGGCCATGTGCCCCAAGGGGCAGCCTCCACAGGCAGGAGCAGTGAGTCCAGGAAGGGCCACCATCTGTCTTCTACCCCAGTGCCTGAGGGACACAGCAGACTCCCACAGTGGCTCCATGGGACCCATCAGAGCCTGAGGAGGTGGGGGGGGCGTGGGTGGGAACATGTGCAGTTGGGAAAGACCCCCAGGTGATGTCAACACACCTGCCCTCCGCCTCAGTGGGAAGAAGTGACCTTTAGAGCATCTTTAGAGAATGCGACTTCTCCTTGCGGGGGAGTGGCACTCTTTAGCTAGCCTTCCTCATAAATACCCACTTTAAATTGCAGCTATTGGTGGCATTATTTTCTCTGCCRGCGCGAGCCTAATGCAGGTGACTGTCTAATTATACTGCCTCTGTATGAGAATGTTCCGACAGAAAACCACCGAACAGAGTTATCAAAAATAGCAGCCTTATCACGGCGGCGGGGTTATTTCATTAATTACCAATGCAGAATCATCCTCTCCAAAAGGCGCTGTGCTTGAGCACTTGTCAGATTGGGCAAGAAGAAACACCTCCCCCTTCAGAGCCTGCCGCCATGTCTACTTAAGGGTCAGAGGCTGCACCAGGAGACATGGAGATGCGCTTGGAACTGTGCTGGGTCACGCAGAGCCCCGGCAGGGATGGTGGTCAACGAGCAACCTCCAGAACCACTGCTCACCTGAACAGGTGGAAGGAAAGAGACTTGGTGGGAAAAAGATGGGCAGGTTCAGCATGCGAGAGCACTCGACTACGGGTGGTGCCGCAGGCTGTGTGGGTGGAAAGTACCCAGGAATCCTGCCCACAGAGCCCTTGCCTGTGGAAGGCTCCCTCTCCCCAGGTGACTGCCACAAGCATGTGGGCATTCGTCTCAAAGATCCAGGACCCTCAGCCAGATGCTCACGGCAAGGCCACCTGCCACTCTAGAGAGCTCAGAGTTTCGTTAGAAGGCACAGCACCCTTTGACAAATAGCACCCCAGTTATAGCCCCCACTGTGTGTCCTGGAGCCCCAACGCTGGCAAACAGCCAAAGGAGGAGAGAACGCAGAGGAGAGAGGGCCATGGGAGAGGGAGAAGCAGCCAAGAAACGCCGTGCTGGTTAGGAGAGTCCCGTCTCATTCTTGCTAGTTGCTGGTCACCGTCTCTGCGGGGTCAGAGCTCCTTGGGACAAGAGCATAGGGTTGCCAAGGTGACATTTTCCTAATAAGTGTCTCTCTGCCTAGCTCAGGCTGCAGATTCTAAGTTACACACATTAGAAAGCACCCAGAGCCCCGAGAAGCCAGCCCATTCAATTACCCTCACCCCTTGGGGTGAGGGAGGTAGGTGTCCTCCTCTGAGAAAGGGGGAGGCCCTGTGTCGGGTTTGCTCTCTGAGAAATCTTTACTCCTGGTGACAAGGGGTTAAGATAATTAAAATCAGAGCAGTCTCGTTATTAGAGGATATGTTTTGATTATCAGATCAGACGAAGAGGAGGCAGCGATGGTTTTTGGAAGAAGTATTGCCGAATTGTTTCATTAACTGCACAGTATTAAAGAATTCCCCCAAGATACGGATAAAGAACATTCATTTGTGAAACTGCGTTTCATTTTTTGTGAAGGCGAACATTAAAACCTTAACTGATTTAGAAGAAATTGCTCCATAATGAAAAATGGAAGGTCTAGAGTCTCCGTGTCACGACGTCGTGTGCGGGAGGTGTCTGGGTGGCGCCCTGGAACTGTAACGAAGGGGAAGAAGGCAAATTATCTAATAACAATGCCACCTGGAGGGTCAGAAATGGCCTTAACATGAGAAAATTAGATTTAAATCTAGAAATAAAAAAGCGAGTCCTGGTCCTCATCGGGCAAGCTGGTGAGAGGAAGGAGCACTGGAGAAATAATGGCCACATTAATGAAGGATGGGACCCACTTCTGACGGTCTCCCCAGGTCCGCAGGGCCTCCTCAGAGAGAGCTGAGCACCTGGCAGTTTCTCAGAAAGTGGATGAAATCTGCCCCAAAGAGGCAAAGAAGAACCAGCAAGGGGGAGCTGCAGGTGGCCCTGGTCAGTGATAGACTTGTGCAAATTTGGTTCTGGGTCAAACCTGGTCATGTGTCAAGAAGCAATCTCCATTAAAAAAAAAAAAAAAAAAAAGGCCTAACTCCATTCTAGAATCACTTTATGTAAGGAAAACTCTTTTTCTTCTCCTTCACTTCTTTTGTAAAATTTTGAGACAAGGTCTCACCACGTAGCCTCAGCTGAACCCTCACGCTCCCAGGCTCCTGTGCTCCTTCTGCCCCAGCCCTGGGTGGCTGGGACTTAGGGGTGCACTACCACCCCGGCTTCATGGAAGTTTTACAACTGACCTTAATCCAACTCATTTAGTAGACAGTGAACAGAAACCAGTCAGTCAGTCAGTCATGCACTCAGTGAGGGAAAAACCAAGGCAGGCCGAACAGACTGGAGGGGTACCCGCAGCAGACCACAGACCTCTAGCCTGCAGCTGGGCCCCGGCTCTTGTCATTCCTGCCTACCTGTTTGCCAAGGAAGATGCCACTCACCCTGGCTATGATCCCTAGCAATCTAGGGCCCCAGAGCTGTCTGCAGCGCATACCTGACTTTGCAGACTGTGGATACTTTGAAGTAGCATTACTATTATTTAAAACATAAAAAAGGTTCTGGGTTCTGCACTTGGGATAGAGATTTAAGAGAAGGCCCTGGGAGCTAGCTTCTGCTAGGCTGCCCAGTGAGTCCACCTGGGAGGAAAGAGACAACCTGCAACTCTCTGAGCTGAGCCACTGGGCTGATCACAGGCCTAAGTGGCAAAGAAGTATCCCCCAGATCAGGGTCAGACGGGGCCTCTGTGGCGCACTGTGCTTCCATTTTTGATCCAAGCACAGAAAGAACCAGAGCTTTAGTGGGCGGGGTCCTCTCATCAGGAGAAGCCTGCAGGCCAGCAGAGCTGGACCATGGCACGTCTACACAGATGGCCTCTGACTGTGACAACGCTGTCAGCTCCACGAGGGCACACATTAGCAGGTGGTGTTTCTACCAAGTGCCAGGACACTGGCTCCACATATAAGGAGTGACCCACTGAGATGGACACATGGTCCACACAGAGCCTGCAGTGAGGTTCAGGGCGCCATGCTCGCTGTCGGTGCCAGGCAGGCGAGGGTGCACCGCTGGGCCCCGGGGCCCCCTGCCCCAGCCCCCGCAGGGCCTGTACCTTGAGCGTGCTGTTCTTGGCGCTCAGCTGCTGCTCCAGCTGGGAGATCTGGCTGGCGGAGTTCTCCCGMAGCTTGGTGAGGCTGCCCTGGAGTCTCTGCACGTCCTCCACCAGCTGGGCGATCTCTCTCTCCTTGGCGGCCAACTCAACTTCTAGGCTGGAGCGAGTCAGCACCTCTATGGCCTGCTCCTGCGGAGAAGAGGAGAAATGACAAAACCGCACTGGCCTTGGGCAGGTGCTGGGGGTACCTGTGTGGGCAGTGGAGGCAGTGACCACACAGACCTCAGGTGTGCACAGTGAGCTCAGGGTAAGACACTGCTTCCTGCCTTGGCTTGCAAGTGACCTCCAGACCTTCCCCTGCCACCACCCCATCTACATCCCTGGATTCCTTCATTGGACATTTTCCAAGCACACATCAAGTGTGCGCGGCAATAAACCACAGGACCAAAGTCCTGGGTAGTGACATGAGCAAGGGCAGCCAGCGCTGGGAGAGGCCAGAGGCTTTACCAAATGGTCAGGGAAAGTCTACTGAGCTGGGGACTGGGAGCCAGGATCTAGGGAGGTGTTGGGGGCAGAGTGCTCCTGCCCGGGGAGCGGGAAGCAGGGCGGCTTGGATGGGGGCCAGGATGTTGCTCCAGAACTTGCGTCTTCTACCTCACGCTGCGATTTACTCTCCTTTGGATTCATTATTGAGTATCCACAAGCTGAGATCTTGGTTTGCCAAATTTGACCCTTAGCGTTCACATTCCCCAAGAGTTAAAAGATGGGAGCACACTTGGGGTTCCTTTGCTTAGAAACAATTGAGTTGTTTTCTTTCTTTCTTTCTTCCTTTTTTTTCCCCAAAGAAACTTACTCTTTCCTTTCTCTCCAAAATGGTCAGCATGGTAAAATACCCAGAAGAGAAGGTATTCTAAATGAAGTCATGTGTGATTCTGCTTCCCGATGACTTGAGCAGGACTTGTTAAGTTTTAAAAGTAACCTCAGCTTCTGAATAATCTTTTCACAGGCAGATGCGCTTCTGGRCAAGGCCAACAGGGACAGGGGACAGGGCTTCAGGCACCTTGAGAGCAGCTCAGGGTACAGCATGGAATGCCACCACCCTGGCCCTTTCCCACTCCTGAAGCTCACGGCTTCGAGCCTGGATCTTGCTTGTGCTGGGTGGAGAAGGGAGGTGAAGGTGGAAGCTGTGGCCCTGGATGCCAGGAATAGCTGTGCTATGCACGACATGCGTATCCCAGGGTTTCCACGCCTGGGACCGGCTAGTCTCCAAGGAAGTACCTCTTCACACCTCCCTGGGCAGTTCAGACCTCCAGCGTGCAGTGCYCAGGAGTGGCTCCTCTGTCTCTTTGCCTTGCTGGACACCATCCATCATGTAGCTTACCATCCTGACCTCTGGCAGAGGGTCACATGGTCCCAGGGTCCTGAGCATCTCTAGYCTGTCCCAACCATTCCATGTGGCCCATGTCCATGGGCCGCTGCCAAGTCACCMATGAGTTGAGCACAGCGAGTCCAGTTCAGAAGTGGGAGTCAGTGTTGGAAACTGAGGAGCCAACTGACATTTTGGTGATGTTTTTACTGTCTTTTATCAAACTATCAGTGTATAACAGAATGGAATTTAAAAAACAAAAGTGTCCTTTATCCCAGGGCTTGGAAAGCACCATTTGGGTGCCACTGGGCAGTCCGGCCCCTGAGGGGCTCTGGAGCAGGGAGGAACATGGTGTYAGGGACACAGGCCCGACAGCAGGTGCAGACAGAACCACTCCATTTATGAGCCTCCCACTGGGGGGTGCCTACCACCAATGCTGCCTCCTCTGTAGTCTATGGAACCAGCAGGAAGGGGTCTGGGCTTCACAATGGGCAAGTTCAAGTTGTTGAATCAGAGACAGTGGTTCAAGTAACTGTCTAAAACTCAGCAGCTCTTGGCACTGGCCCTGGGCCCAGCTGGGGACCTGGGAGTAGGCAGTCCTGAGGGCCACCTGCTAAATTTCTGGGGGCCCACCTGGCCTGGCCACAGGGCTGGGCACATCAGTTGATTCTCGGAACTCAAGTCACAAATTCCCTYGAAAAAGGAAAAAAGCCCAGCTGCCTCCCCTAGGCCGGAGGCCCCAAGATGGCCAACCTCAGGGCAGTAAGACCTGGAGGTGCGGCAGAGAAGAGTACCCCACTCTGTGGCCCAGCCCACGGCTCCCCGACTCCCAGCTGTRGGGGTGCTCCTGATGGTCCCATTGTGAGGACAGAGGGAGGAGGAAGAAAGAAACAGAGAGGGGTCCAGGGGTGACCAGGGGCTGCGGTCAGGGAGAGTGTGGGCCTGGTGATGAGGCCGAGGCTGGGGAGGACACTGGCATAGCTCTGGACGGAAATCCAGGTGGTAGAGCGAACAAAGAGGTCAGGGGCCCAGTGGCAGGTGTTTATGCCACCCAGCTCACGACCCAAGACATAACCCTCTGGTCAAGGAGGGCCAGGGCCACCAGTGCCTTCACCTCTGAGGCTCCACCCAGCTGCAAGGAAATCAGGAAATGCTCGTGTCAGGCTCAACTGGAGTCGGGAACTCAGTGCCCGGGGCAGGGCCCAGGCTCCCCTTGTGATCCCGATGGGGTTCAGGGTGAGACCTGGCTCAGGCAGGGAGGGCAGGAAATCCCCGGGTTCTTGGCTTCCAGGACCCCCAGGCATGCTACTTGCCCCATGGGGCTCCGGTGGCTCAGGTCCCGGGAGGACATGCAAGGGTGCTTAGCTTKGTCTGAAGGCACTGGCYCTGGAAGGGCTTCAGTGAGGAGCAYGCTCAGAGGGGAAAGCGAACACTGGAACAGGTCCCTGGTGTGGGTGTGCTTGGTGTGTCCCTTTGAACCTATCCCTGTCCCTGGCTCCTAAGCAAGTGCTGAGACCAGAATGCTGSGCCTGACCCAGTGAGCGGTCACCTCGTGTCCAGCAGCCACCTTCGTGGTGATGAGAGCTGCATGGGGAGGAGACGGTGGCCCGGGTCTGGGAGGGAAGTGCTGTCTGGAGCTGGGCTGCCCTTTCAGTCTTGTCCCCTCACTGGGAGGTAAGGCAGCAGGAGTTGGCTTGGCTTCTCCTCCTCATGCCACCTGCTCCTGCCTCCACCTCGAGAGCCAGCTGGAGTGGGTGGTGGGATGGAGGTGGTCCTCTTAACAGGACAGCTTGCCTAATCTCCAAAAAAGGGGGCTGTGTGCGGTGTCCAGAGCACTGCGCTTTCACCCTTGTTTGTCTGCAAATCCTCCACTAAGGCCTCTGCGGACCTGCCTCTTGCTGCAGCCCATGATGGGATGGGAGAGGGGTCAGGAGAGTGGCCTCCAGCAGGAAGGACTGGGTCCATACTCCAGCTTATTCTTTTTGCTTTTTTTTTTTTTTTTTTTTAGCAGTGTTGGGGATAGAACCTAGGGCCTCACGCACGCAAGGAARGCGTTCTGCCACTTAGCTATGTCCCCAACCCTTTTAAAATTATTTTGAGGGGCTGGGGATGTGGYTCAGGCGGTAGCGCGCTTGCCTGGCATGCGTGCGGCCCAGGTTCGATCCTCAGCACCACATACCAAAAAAGATGTTGTGTCCGCCGAGAACTAGAAAATAAATATTAAAAAAAAAAATTCTCTCTCTCCCCTCTCTCATTCTCTCTTTAAAAATAAAATAAAATAAAATAAAAATAAAAAAATAAAATTATTTTGAGATGGGGCCTTGCCCAGTTGCTGAGGTTGGCTTCGAACTCGTGATCCTCCTGCTTCAGCAACCCACGTAGCTGGGATTACAGGCGTGTGCCACTGTGCCAGACCGGCTTGGTTGTTTCCTAGTGTGTGACGTTAGGAAAGGTAAGCTCCTCTGAGCCCCAGTTTCTTTACCTGTAAAATGACAATACACAACTTCCCTCTCCTGACTGTGATGTCACGAGGCAGAAATGAAACGCGGAGGCAAGGCTCTGCTCGCTGAGTGACTGCGCACCTTCTAGGACCATGGTTCTGCTGAGACACCCATCATGTCAATTTTGGCCTCCGCTAGATCTGTGGACTCTACTGTTCAGCGGCTGAGTTCTGCCGGCCAAGCCCAATAGACCATTTTCCGCTGGCCTGGTTTCTGTGTTGGCTGGAGCCGCAGCTCACAGCCTACAGAGGATGTGGAGCCAGGGACCTGCTCCTGGAAGGCTGAGTCAGTGCCAGGTAAACACTGCGCGAGCCAGTGATGAAGTGTGTACGCGCCCCGGACCCGCGACGCACTCTACCTGCGAGAACATTCATTTCCTTTTGAAATGTTTTGGTCGCTGAAGTCCAGGACGGTGCCAGAATTCTTTTCAATCAAAACATTTAGCTCAGGAGCCGTGAGACATGTTAGGATGGACGGCTTCCTCCACAGCCCCGAGGACGGCCACAGAGACCGGGGGAGCTGCCAGCCCCAGCACCCAGGGCCTCCTCCCGCCTCAGCCCTGGTGGTGTACCTGGTGYATCTGAGCTTGGGTGAGGGACAGAATAGCCTCTTGGACATCTAAGTTCAAGGTRTCAAGACCATGAATTACGAAGGTGTGTTGGTGCCTTGAATGGGAACTTTTCTCTGTGTCCTAAAACGCTCCAGTCTCACGCTGCATCTGATGTCAATGTAAAGAAAGAAAACTAAAATCGATTCTTATTCTTTTTTTCGTCTTTGCCGTGCTGGGGATTGAGTCCAGGGCCTCGTGTGTACTGGGCGCACTCCACCTGAAAACCCCAGCCCTGTAAGTATGAATACATACCAGCCCAGCCACAAGCCATTCTTAAAAGAAGGAGTCCTGGCACCAGCCGTTTGCTCTAGGTCCAGTCCTGGTGATCACTTAAAAGCTCCAGTCTCAGGTGTCTGAGGAGCCAACTGAGTCCTGGCTCAGCCACTGACCGTGCTCTGGGGCCAGCTGTTGACACTGGGCTTCGTTTCCTCCTCTGGGTAAGGAAACAGCAACACCCTGCTTCACAGGTTAGTGGAATACTGGCTGTCACGAGGGTCTTTCCACACAGCGAGGTTTCCCGAGACTGTGCTCTCTGTGGAGGGCCCGGTCCTGTTCCTCCTTGCTACCCCAGTGCCCCTCATGCTGGGTAGCAGCAAGGGCTCCACGAATCTTTGTTAAATCRAAAGACATCTATGACTGCCAGGGACTCACTGTGGTCATCAGAGCGAAGGGGCCTTAGTTGGGATCACTTAATCCAGTGTTGGAGTTCAGTGTCGTAGCCTTGGCACCAGCCAAGGAAGGGTGCCCGCTGAGGTTCACTGAGGTCTGTGCGCATGGCAGACATAACTTCCTGACCTCAGGAGACCACTCTTCATGGGCGGACAAACAGACTCAGGGAAGCTAAGCCGCTGTCCCCAGCTGATAGACACAGAGCAGGGAGGTGACTCAGGGCTCCAATGCCTGGGGCTCAGCCACCACACTCACCAAGCCGAAGGAGTCTGGGAACCTGATGCTCAAAATCGCCTTGACCATGCTGGGGAAGCTGTGGCTATTTGTTACCTTTAGAAAAGTCAGGCAAAAGGACAAGACTCATGCCTTGCTCCCCCTGGCTACGTGAGGCTGGCAAACTTAGGGTGGGCGGCTATTCTAGGACCTCCTTGGGCTTCTGGACCACTGTGGACTCTCCCCAAAGAAGGTTTCCCCAGGAGGACAGACCCTCGACCACCCTGTGGAATTCTGGGGAGGCTCCCGTATGCACTCCGCAGCCCCCAGCAGTGACCCAGGCTGGGCTGGGGAGGAGCCCTCAGCACTGGGGAGGCATCAGGCYGGCCCAGGAGCTGAGGCGTCTCCTAGCCTGGACCAGGTTCTCCCCTCAAGTTGTTAAAAGCGTTCCCACCAAACGAGCAGCACTGGCTCAATGTTATCCCAAAAGAGGCGTCAAAACCCCCCGGAAGAAAGGCCCCAAGGCGAGGGCGCAGATGCCCGGGCGGAGCCCCGCAGGCGAGCTACCCACCACATCCGGCGCCTTCTGGATCTGGGAGGCCAGCTGGAGAGAGTGGTTGGCCGAGGAGAGCTGCTCCCGTAAGGTCTCCGCCTCTCGCTGAGCCACCTCTGCCCTCTGAAGGAAATGAAAAGGGGCGAAGAGAGAAAGTACACCCGGTTTAACAACTGACAATTATTACAAGAACATTCATCAATTCATGCCTGACTGACTATAATTGATTTTCCTAAACACTCAACCTAATAAATGCTYGGAAAAAAACATAGAATGTGATGGATTTTTATTTTAAACAGTACAAGGAAGAAATAATTGAGCGATTATGACAGTAATTTAACGCTAGGAGCAAGGAATCCCCTGCTGATACTAATGCTCCGGCCCACTGAATTTCCCAGACTGAATAAATACCAGTGGAAATAGAGTCTTCTGATTCAATTTCTTTCTATTCTCATAGACCGAGAAGATTTTATTGCAGGATTCCTCCTGGGAGTAATTCTCACGGGTAAACAGTGAATTAAAGACACTTTGGCCATTCTCGCCTTAAAACCAGGCGGTGCGGTGGCTCTTTACCCCAGCAGGCCTGGCCATCCCCAAGCCGGGTGGAAAGGCCACATCTTTTGTGAGGGCCGGACTTTCTTCAAGCATTTTTAACCCTTCACCAGGTATTGTTTTTGAAAATCAATGCTGGGTTTTCAGCCGGCCAGGACAGCCTGGGGACAGTGGAGGGTGGGTAGCCAGGGCCAGCACAGGTGGTGGCAGGAGAAACGTGTGGCCCTCCATCATCTGCTACGACCCAGGACAAGGAAACCACCTCTGCTGCAAAGCCATTTTCCCATTGCGTGGAGAGGACAGCTACATCACGAGAGGGCTCTGGGGATGGGCCCCTCTGAGCCTCCACCTACCCATCTGTGCGATGGGAACACGTGCCTTCTCTGAGGCCTGGCGAGGTCCTGCCATGGACACTCAGCACGAGAGGCATGTGTGGAGGCAGCCTCTCAGGCGGCTCACCCCGGCTTCACAGTTAGGTTTAAGACAAAGTCCCAAGGAGGGAGACAGCAGATGACGACATGGGGCACATGGACTGAGGGTGACCGCGCTTCATCAGTCTTTTTTTTTTAGTTGCAGATGGACCCAGACCTTTATTTTATTTATTTATTTTAATGTGGTGCTGAGAATTGAACGCAGTCTCACACGTGCTAGGCACGTGCTCTGCCACTGAGCCACAACCCCAGCCCTTCTTCAAACATTTTGCAAGTGACATTCCACCAACAGAAGAGATCAAGGAGGAAAGCCCACGCGAGCAGGGCTATTTTGTTTTTCTTATCTTGAGCTGTGACAGTGTGTGTCTATTATTTGCAAAGCAAGAACACAGAGAAGTAAGCAGCTGTCCTGTCCCTGGTCCTCACAGGCCCATCTACCTGGATGAGGAAGGATTTGGCAGTCTCAGTGACTGAGCGGTGGCAGCCTTACACCTAACACTCCCCACACAGATGAACCAGGACTCCCTGAGCAATGAACCAGGACTCCCTGAGTGCAGACGTGGCTGGCTGCCTGCCCTGCTGTGTAGGGAACTCTTGGGAAACCCCCTGAGCCTAGTTCATGAGGTGCCTGGCCACGTGTCGGTGCCCAACATGTCCTTCCAGAGTCTTTGCTCCAAACTCAACCCGGGCCCGGCCAGTGGAAAAGGTGGCCACGTGCCTGGTGTGGTGAGGACAGTGAGGGCCATCTCAGTCCTTGGCGTCAGGGCTGTGGAGGATTTCCTCTTTAATGTCAAACATTTCCCTCAGTTTATTTCCAAGTTTCTCTGATCATTGTGCCACACGCCTCGAAGTGTCGCCTTCCCTTGCTAGTCAGCTAAGCCCTCGGGCACAGCATCCCCGCRACTCTCCAGGATGGAGGTGTGCTTTGACACCCTGAGTCACTCTTGCTACGCCTGCAGGAGGCTGTTCTGCAGCCAGCCAGGTGGAGCCACTGGCCTGACTGTGTCGCTGGTTTTCGGGTGGGGCTGGAAGGCCTGGGGGCGGGTTCAGGAGGCGTCACCAGGAGAGAGGGATGGCCTCTGTGAAGGCCACGGCTCACAGAGCAAGTGACCTGACCAGTCGCTGACCACCCTCCAGACTGTCCTGCGTCCAGTCCCCAAGTTCATGTATGATGGCTCCGGCCTGTCCCTTCCCCTCATGGCCTCTCTGGCTTGACCCGGTTACTTCAGCGTGGCTTTCTGGTTACTCCTTCATTTGGCATTTGGTTGACGTGGCTCATGTGGCTACACAGGCACAAGCCAGAAGAATCACAAGCATCGCAGGTGGAGGAGGGAGCGGGGGACAGGGAGAGAAGGCTGACATGCAGCCGGGACGACCCAGTGTCTGCAGCGATGGCTGCATTAGCCCGCATGGGCAGCTGAGGCACAAAGTGGTCCCCCTTCAGGGTGGTGCCACCTGTTTCAAGGTCTTCCTGAAGAAGTCACAGGGGTGATTTCCCATCTGACCCCAGACTTGGAGTGTGGCTGCTCAGAGCCACGGGGACATAGGCCACACTCCTGTGAGGCAGGCTGGCAGCAGCCCTGGTCCTGAGTAAGCAGCACTCTGCTGAAACCGGTGGTCCYGAGAGGCACCTCCTGCTGACCATCCACCTTCCTAAGGAACGGGGTAAACAGCAGAGCGTGGGAAGCGGAGGTGAGCACGAGGGTGAGCAGGACAGCGCTAGCCTTCTGGTGGCAGCCTTGACTGCCTGATAGAGAACAGCCACAGGGGCCRAGGACCAGTGGGGCCCAGAAACCCAGGGCCAGCTATGCCCACCACACAGTGGCATGGCCCGTCTGGCCTCTTTATGCTGTCCTTGTCTCAGAATGGATGACTTTCTAAAGGGACACCACTGGAGTCCCTAAGTGGGTCCTCAGTTATCCCCCGTCCCGCCCACCTCTGCATCCACCTGGAGGGTAGGAAGGGGCCGAGTGRGGCCAGCAAACCGAGTGACGATTCCCACCTCAGATGCTGACAGCCCAGCAGTCACAGGAGAGCTTCTGCTCCCCGGCCGGTGTCACACTGGGTGATTCAGGGTGGGCAGCCTGAACTGCGGGCCCACAGTGCCACCGAAACAGGTCCATGGGAAGTGCCTGACTCCCTGATGCCTGGCACACTCCTGGGGGCCAGATGGGCGCCCTGGAGGGACACACCTGAGAATGTGACCTGGGAATGGGCAGCAGCACCGGTCAGCAGTGTCCTAGGGCAGGGCACGGCAGAGGAAGGCAGGCCCGGGGCCAGCCTGACAGGGCGAGGACCAGCGGGCAGGGCTGGTGAGGCCAGACTCGGCCTGGCTTTCTCCGGAGCGCAGCCCCAGGGCCAAGGCTCAGACAGAGGACCTGTGCCAGCTCAGGCCCCTCCGGGCCTCCTCCTTAGGAGCTCTGATTCCCTGGTTCTGTTGGATGGTGATGGTGGCCCTAGGTTTCCTCTCTCTTGCTCTGCGTGTGTGTGGCCATCAGACATGGGCTTGGGCAGACCCAAGAGGAGCAAGACCCTAAGAGACCCAGCAGCCCTGCAAGCTGATAGGGGACCATGTCCCTCCACGGGATCCAGACTGCTGGAGAGAGCCCCATCGGTGGCTGCAGGGAGAGGTGAGGAGGCGCAGAGGAGAAACTCTGGTGCATGTCCGAGTGGTCTGCACAGGCAGCGCGCCAGTTCAGAGCCATGGCCAGTGCTGCCGGAGACACACTGGATGTTGAGGCTGCAAGGAGAGCAACACACCTGTGCACCTGCTGCATGTCACAGGCTGGGGCACGTTTCAGGAGAGCCAAAGCAAACCACATAACTCTGCCTGCCACACAGGTCCTCCACGTGTGCGCCTGACCTTGGTGGAAGTCCATTCATGGCGGGGGAACCCAAGGCTCCCAGGGGGCCTAAGACAGCACCATCATGTCTGTGGCTGGCTCTGTGGAAGGGCCCTGGACAGCCCGGGAGGCCAGTGTGTCCTCAGTACTAGGAGTGGCCAACAGAGCCCCAACACAGGAGCCCCAAGAGAGGCCTGTCCAAGCAACAGATAAATGAAGCACTTCTCTCACTCCATGGACAGGACGCCCAGGCCTGGGGCTGGGGACTTGCTGAACCAGGTGGGTAGGGAATGCCGGTGTCTGCCCTGGAGCCAGGCACCCTCGCCCATGGGAACGTGAAACCTGGCCCCAGAACGCAGGGCCTGCGAGTTCCTTCTGTTCTGCGCTGCTCTGCCCCCTCCTTCTCCTCGCTGAGGCTCCACTGAGGTTTCCAGCCCCAACCTTAGCCTGAAGGGTCTTCCCCGAAGGCAGTCTTGAGCCATGAAAACCAGAGAGGTCAACAGGACCAGGACCGTTTGCTTAGATGGCTTCCTCCTCCCACTGCCCAGGCTGCCCACGACTTGACCCAGGGCTGCTGCAGGGAGGGACATGGCAGCCACAATCCAGCGCAGGGCAGACCTGGCGGTCCCACCTCTGCTCCTCTTTACCAGAAGTCTCGGAGTTCTACACCTTTATGGTCACACTTAACATGGGAATATTAGTGCAAGGGCCTCGACATCGGGACCAGCAGGGGTCAAGGAGACCCTCCCTACGGACAGCTGCTGCCTGGGTTTCCATGACGGAAACCAGCACCTGAGCAAGCAAACAGAGCTTCAGGTCTGAGAACGTCTTGCTATAAACCTGGTGTGAAATAATGTTCTGTGCCAATGAACTAGTAAATCGCTCTTCCTGGGGGTCCTGGCGGGGAGGCGGCTGGCGCATGGCTCTGTGCAGCTCTGCTCTGGGCCAGCCCTCGTCTGTGGGGATTGCTCCCCTTGGGCTCTGCGGCTTTCTGTGCCCTGTCACGGTAGCTACTTAGGGCGCTCCTGGATTCCAGTCTTCCCACTCCCATCCACTCTGCGTAGCCAAAGAGCCTCCAGAGCACACACCAGTAACCTGACTCCAGCTGCTCCTCGCAGCAGGAAGCCCCCCCCTCACCTGCCTACCTGCCCAGAGCCCACTGTCCAGCCCGCACCTCCTGGGACCCTGMCCTTCTACAACTGCCAGGGGTGCTGTCCTCCTCATGCCTGCTGACCCGGGAGCTCTCCTCAAATGTCAAGGTCCAGGTCAGCTTCCACTTGATTTCCCCAGGGGTCACCCCATCAACATTCCAGGGCTTGCAACCTGGMTACTTACTTGGGTACCTTCTTGTACGAGTGGGCTTACCTATATTCTCATAGAATCCTAAACTCCAGCTTTAGCAGAGATCCATCAGGTCAGTCACCCTGTTCCTCCCTCTTGTCCCCTCTGTGCCTGAACCCCCATCTCCCACTGGTGGCAAGGACTGACCCGTGCCTCCCTGCACAGCTCTGAGGACAGGCGCATATGTGCGTCAGCGCACCACCCTGCAGAGCTCTGCCAGGAGGTGCATCTTCTTACTACCAGCCTCTACGCTTGGCTGCAGTCCTCTGAGTATTATGGAAAAATCCTGCCCCTGTGCCCTGGCTGGCCGTGAGAGCTTCAGGGTCAGACCACAGGGCCCATCCAATGGCCCCTTTCTCATATTTTAGCACCCCAGGTTCCCGAAGGTATTCCTTGAGCTCTTTTCAGTTATAGGTGGGCACAATACCTTTATTTTACTTATTTTTATGAGGTGCTAAGAATCAGACCCAGGGCCTCACACATGCTAAGCAAGCGCTCTGCCACTGAGCCCCAGCCCCAGCCTTGTGAGCCTTCTTTCCCTGATTTCCAAAGACCAGGAATGGCCCTGAGCTTCTAGTTTCTTTGGTGTTAGGGTCCCCCGATCCTGGCTGTGGAGTGGAGCCAGACTGTGGAGCCGCTTTCTTTACTGTGGCTTCTAGTCCAAAATGGGTTTTCCCGGGCATGGACTAATGGCCCCTGAGCTGACCACCCTCTGTGTTCTAGAAACTCTGTAGCGATGGGGTAGCCTTGAGGCTATTAACTCAGGCTGGGCTGTCAGTGCCAGAGCTGCACCTCACAGGGCAGTCCCCTTCGGGGTTCCCTGCCAGGCCTGTCCCCTCCCCGCACCGCACTCCCCCTCCTCTGAAGAGTCTCGCAAGGTAAGTAGAGCTCCAGCTGCCATGGCCCTCTGTCCTCTCAGAGCGTTTAAAGCTTTTGGCTGTGTAGGGTACAGTGTGAGGTCCACCATCGCTACATCGGTGCGTACAGTTCAGTAGTGTTAGCTACAGTCACCTTGGTGTGTAACCAATTCCAGAACCTTCCCATCCTGCAAGACAGCACCTCCGCCTACCCAACATCCCATGTCCCCCTCCTGTCCCTGGCCTACTCAGCTGTACTTGGTGACTCCATGACTCTGCCGCCCTAGACACCACGTGGGGTCACACAGTAGATGTCGTTTGTGGATGGTTTATTTTCTTAAAAAATGTCCTTAAGGTTCATCTTTTCTTTTCTTTCCCTTTTTCTCTTTTAAGATTAAGACATCCATGAGGTTAAGAAACCTGTTGGAGCCATACAACCAGGAGATCCAAGTTAGAGCCGCACCAAGTGTCACTGTGGAGTGGCACCTATCTCTATGGTCCTGCCTGATGCCCCTGAAGACACTTTGAGAAGGGCACCAATTGCCAAATGGCTCTGTCACCTGAGAATGGCCTCTACCCCCTGAGGTCAGTTCCAACAGAGCACCTGACGCTTATAGACTCAGACTGTTGGCCGAGAGACCGGGGCTTACCCAAAGGTGCCAGCCCAAGGGGGCCATGCCCATGGCAGGCCTCAGGGGAGGCTGGGAGGAAATCTGAGAGGTACAAACACAACCAGGTGATAAAGATGATGCCCTCCTCTCAGCAGCTACTTCTAACTCAGGCTCTGCMACGTGCGGCCGTGCGGATTGAGCTGGGGAGGGGCTGGCGCAGCAGGGCCGCCATTGGCAATGGCAAGTGCTCTACGACCCTGTTTCTGGGTATTCCAGGTGGTTAGGAGCACAGCCTCCAAAGTTAGACTTCAGGGATCCAGGTCTGGCTCTGCACCTGACCAGCCACTAACCTGCTTTCCCACGTGTATGGTGGGAATCCCGACAGCACTGACCTCAGTGGACGGCCATGTGGCTGAGGGGAACGGGCCTAGGCAGAAGCCAGGGCTCCAGAGCTCTGACTAGAGCGGGGCCACTCACCCYGCATGACTCAACCCCACCCACCCCTGCCTCATCAGCCCTGGATCCAGGGTGGGTGTAAGGCCCAACAACACACCAGTGAAGTCCTGAAGGGCTGGCCCGGTGCTGGAGCTGACTTTGCTGCTCCAGCCTGTGGGGGAGGGACATGGAGGCCCTCCCCAGTGCTGGTCCTGGCCTAGGCGAGCAGTGCCCACAAAGGCGGGAGCCTGTGGGGCCTCTGCAGGGTGGGCGGAGACTGTAGGGAGCCTGGAAAGCGCTCTGCTCCAAGGGGTGAGGCGAGCATGCTCCCTGGGCGACYGGGAGCCACCCAGCTGTAAAACTGAATGGGGAGAAGCCGCAGCTCTGAGGCCCACCACTGCTGTGGCTGCTTCTCCCACAGTGAGGAACACACGTGGGGGACTCCTGCCCCTCTAAGCGGTGGCAGCACCACTGTCTGCTGAAGCGAGGTGCTCTGTGACCTGCAGAGGGCAGGGGTGGGGTGGCTGGACTGTCTGGGTGGCTGATGTTTGGAACCCCCTGATCCTGGGCACCTGTTCTGTGATGGGCATTTCCCAAAGGGCATGTCTGACCACTGGGCACCAGGAAAGAGGGGCTGCACCCAGCTGCTCCTCCAAATCAATAGACTGTACCCCCTGGAAGGTGGCCATGCAGATCGCTCTACCATGTGACTCTACCACGTGGCTCTCTACCGCATAACACGTGCCGCAGGGACAGAGGGTCTTGAAAAAGAAAAAGTAGCCCCTCTGGAGTGGACATCCCCGTGGGATGACCAAGATGCTCTGGTCATAAGCAAACCTTTGCCAGGGAAACGAGGCTGCTAGTCTCACGTGTTTTCCAATGTCACACAACATCACCATGAGACCGACACGAGACCAACGTGACACCGTTAGGTAAAAACACCAGAACAACCAGCCTCCGAATGAGCACGAGGCGGCCGGGTCGGCAGGACGGGCGCCACTGCAGTTCTGTGCCAAGGCCTGCGGAGAGCCTACCTGGTTTGCTCTTTCCAGGTCAGTCATGATCATTTCGATCTCGTCGGCCCTAGGAAGGTGAGAGGAGAGAGGGGGTTAGCTGGCGACAAGGCAGGCCCAGGAGTGACACAGGACAGGCTTTCCGGCTCTGCACTAGGCAGGACACCACATTCATTGGGCAAGGTGGGGTCCCGGCGCGGGGGAGGGGTCCCAGCAGCCACAGGTAGGAGGTGGGCTCCTATGGGGGTGGCCCACCTGTGGTTTCATTCTTCTGATGACCTCGTGTCTGGGGAGCAGGGACCCCCTGTCCTGGAGGGGCTCCTAACCTTCTGGGGGGGGGGTCAGAGCCAGAAAAGCTAGAGCACTCCAGGGAGACAGGGGCGCTGTGGGGGTAGGGACACGGCCGGGCTCACTGCGCCCCAGCTTGCCCCTAGCAGCGCAGTCTCCAGGGTCTTGCTTTTGTGTTTCAGAGTCCTTCCTTGGGCAGCGTGAGGCCACATGCGGTCCTGACACACACCACCATGAGCGAGGAGAGCAGACCCTCAGGGAAGGCTGCCAACACCCAAGGCCTGTGGCAGCTGGAAGAGGACACAGGGCAACCCACCACCCCCTTGAGACAGGTCCTGCTGACAGCCTGTGAGGACACAGGATGAGTGGCTCTGACCCCAGCGAGGTGCCAGCATGTCCTCGGGGCCCAAGACAACATGATGGTTACCAGCCCTGGCTGGGGCTCTGGGCCCTGTTCTGTGTCCCCGTGTACCTGGGCGCCCTCTGTTGCCCACTTCCACGGTGCCACAGCTTTCCCACACCCAGGCTCCTGCCCTCCACCCAGCCTTGCCCAGGGCTCATTCCCACGGCCCTGTGTCCCCACAACTTCCACCTTGAGCAGGAGCCGACTCTGCTCAGGCCCTGCTACTCCCAGCCCTCCCCAGTCCTTCCGGGTTCTGTCTGAGGCTGTGGCACACGCCCTCTCCCTCACTGGAACCCCCAAATACGGTGAGCTCTCTGAAGGCCAGGCTGAGTGTCTCCTTGGTACCTGGTCCCTGGRCTTGGCCCTGTGTCTGGAATGGGCCAGAGGCCTGCATGTGCCACATGCCAGGCCCAGGCAGGTCCACTCCCTGGGACAGCCCAGAGCACCCAGGCAGGCCTGAGACCCACCTCCCAGTCCCGAGGAGGCGTGTGCTGCACAGGGGACCTGCCCTCTCCTCACACTGAGCAGGCGCAGGTCTTCAGGTCCCTGGACTGCCCAGTGGTCCAGGCCGGGGTTTCTCCAGCCCACCTCTGCACGCGGGGATCTGAGGCAATCTTATCAACTCCCAGTGGCCTGGCCGGTGACGGACACCTTGGGATCAGGTTCAGTGCATTGTATCTGAAATAGTAGCTGCTTTCAGACTGGCCCGAGTAAAGTCTGGAACAGCCGTGGAATGGCCTAGTTAAATGGAGCTATTTTTAGGACAGGTTTCATGGGGAAGGCAGTGTCTCTGTGAGATAAAAACCCAACTGGGCCCCTGCTGTGAGGTGCTGGGCGAGAGCGGACGGGGGCAGTGGGCTAATACACGGAACAGTCTATGGGGCCATCCCACGCCCAAACTCCATGCCCAAATTCCACGCCCTAGGGAAGAGCTGCCGTGCAGAGACATTCCAATAACCACGGAGGATTAAAACCCATCATTAACCAGCCAAGGGTCCTAAACATGAGAAGAGGAAGATCAGAGTCCAGGCGGAAGGCCACCCCTGTCCCCACCGCCTGAGGATGAAGGACGCAGAGCTGCACCCCAGCAGGCACAAAAGGAAACAAAGCTATGACTCCTCTTAGGTGAACTGCAAGTTTCGCACACAGTTCTGAACTTTAATCAGGCAGTTCTTCATCGGCAGTTCAGGAGGCCCAGGCCACATGGCCGATGCCCCAGACATCCCGGACACCCCTATCCGCTCACTGGTTCACGGGCTCCTTGAGTGTCTGACACCTCATGCCTTATGGCACCAGGAGGCAGGAGAGACCCAGATGTGGTTCACGTATCTCGCCAGTGCCGCAGACTTAGGAGAACCGACTCCACGCGTGGCTGCCGAGCACCCCAAGACAGACCTGCAGTGAGAGGGCAGAGCCGCCTCTCCCTCCCTCAGGGGCACCTGCAGAGCTGGCTGCAGAACCTGGGAGGCGAGCGGTGCCCGCTGGCCTGGGTGAGCAGAGGCCTGAGTGCATGTCCAGGCAGGGACTTCTGTGAATCGCTYCTGTTGGTCCTTTGTGGGCTGTTCCCGAGTCGCAGCTAACCTCCCTGGGTTGACAATGCTTCCTTTGCTCTGTTTGAGACTCATCGTTYGGAATCGAGCTGCTTCTGTCCTTGGCGTCACTCAACCTTTGTCTTCTATTTTGCTCTTTTCCTGCAGCCTTCTGGAGGCTTCCTGAATAGGCCCTGAGTGCTTGTGGGCTGTGCCRCCACTCAGGGCTGTGCCCCCCCTTCCTGCTTTGCTCCTCCAGGTCCTCTCCAAACCTGTTGTTTCCACCTGGTTCATTTTCCCACCGAGCCTACCTTTTGCTTTACCTGGTTTTTTTGAGTCCATTTCTCAGCCTGATTTGTTCTTGTGGCCCATCTGTCCCCTCAGGTCACATGCACCAAGGGGTGTGGGGTCTTTCAGAGGACAGCCATTTTACCTCTGGGCTCTGATACCCTGGGGAGAGCCAGTGACCCCTTGGGGCAGCGGGTAGGTCAGGGAGGTCAGAGAAGCGAGCCCTATTGTGAGTGCCAAGATGAAGGAAGAGAAAGACGCACAGCAGGGGTCCGGCAGGTTTTGCTGAAGAAGGAAGGGAGGGCCTCTGGCCCCCAACTGCTCACTGATGACTCCCCTCAGCTGCCCCTCCACCAGGAAACCCTCCAGCTAGAGCTGGGCCTCCCCTTCCCTGCCAGGGGCAGCAGTGCCAGGAGTAGGTCTCCTGGGTGCAATCCCCATCCTGGACATCTGGAGCAAAGGGTTGGCTCCCCACCCCTTGTCTGGGAGAGCACCAGGAAGAGGGATTCCGAGAGGCTGGCCTCACAGAGGCATCAGGGCTGGGCTGGGGTGCTGAGGGCTGGGAGTGGTGCCCCCATAGTCTTGGGTCAGGGGGCCCAGGTGGGCTTGGGAGCTCCCCTGCAGATGTGGAGACTCTGGCCTTGGCTGTTCATTAGGATTCTTAACATCTAGGAAACTATGCCTCATATTTCTGAAATATTTCAAGTCACTTATAAAAAGTTAGTCACATTTAAACAGGAAGGTGCCTTCTCGGCTGCCTGCAGCAATCCCTGGAAATGAATTTCAAGTTTTCCATCTACAGGTCAGTTTAACTTGGGTTCCTAAGCAATTGGCGAACTGACCAAAATACTGAGTGTGCTAACGACCTCTGCCCTAGCCTTTCATGAGGACAGCAGCTCCTGTCCTCCCCCAGCTTTCGGAGGAYGATGACCACCCTTGAGCTTTGCCTCGTGGGGCAGGTTATTGACACCAGGTACGGTGCTGACAGCTGGGCCCAGGGGGCTGCAGCTCTTGATCCCGAAAGGAGACAGTGTGGGGAGAGGGGATCCCGCTGGAGAGGCCGAGTTCAGGTCATCTGCAGGATCCCTACTAATTTTTTGGAGGGGCACTTTTTTTAAAGGTCAAAGAGAACACAGCTCGCTCCAGCCAGGTGGGAGCTGAAGTGCAACGGGCGTCGAGAGGCGTGTGGTGCGGCCCTGGCACCTGCGAGGCTGGACCAAGAACGGCCTCTCTGTCTTTAGAACACACTTGCACGCCAAGCGGCCACCCACGCCTCCCAACATCCACCTGCCAGACCCACACCCTGAATCAGCAGGACGAGCGCACCCCCAGGTGAGTATCAGCAGGACAAGGGCACCCCCAGGTGAGTATCAGCCACCAGGAGGGGTCCTAAGGCGGGGATGATACACCGTGGCCTCCGTGGCCTCCCCGGCCCAGCCTCCAGATGCACTTCTTTTCATTCCGCAGGCTCCACGGCCGCCCACCATCTGGAGCCTGACATTAGTCTAAAATCATTTATTTTCCAAAGTCCGTAAGAATCGCACATATTGTTTGCTCAGCAGAACGATTTATTATAAAAATTTAGTTCCCTCACCTTTTTACGAGCTGACAAAACAGCTTCCCCTGATCTATTAACCTGGGCTGCATTATGCTCTGCTCCGACTCCAGCGGCAGATAATTTCAGTTTGGCCCGGAATATATAGTTCATTCATCCACTCCCTGCACATCATTCCAGGGTATTCTCTGGGCGAACACACAATTTTTATGAGGAACTTGAAAGGACGTGGTCAAGGTTGATGGAAAGGAAATTATACCCACGCTAGACACAGTGTATTTCCTTTCACATGCGCCTCCTGAGTGCTGCGGTCCGGCACCAGGGCAAGGCTGTGTGCACTTCAGTACCCAAACAATCACAGTGCCACCAGGAGCTGCTAAAACAGAGAACACCCTGCCCTCTGTATCTGCACATTCCACATCCATGGGTTCCACCAACCGTGGATCAAAATTTTCAGAAAACCTGCACTTGTTCTGAACACGTACAGACTCTCCCCTAGACGCCATCCCCCAGTGACGCAGCACAACTATTTACACAGCGACTGCATAGGGCCGGGTACTGTAAGTCACCTAGAGACAAAGTGCTATCCCAGTGTAGATTCTGGTATACCTGGGGTCCCAGAATCCATCTTCTTGGGTATAAAGTGACAGAATGACACCTGAGTGTATATGGGGCAGCCGAGGGAAGGAACAGGACGGTCTTCAAGAGCAGTCAAGTCAAAAGCCTAAGAGGCTTGGTACCACATTGTGCAGTTCTTTGGCATCAAACAGAGAAATATCTAAAGATGGAATCTCCCTGCTTTAAAGAAGATTCCCCCCTGATATGTCCAGGACATACACTCTCCTCGGCACACCTCTGTACCAGGGGTRAGCCTGTGGCTAAGGTAGGTCCTTCTCCTGACAACCTGTGGGCCAGGCTGGTGCAGCCAAGGGGGGCTCAGCTGGGTGGGCTTGCTGGATCCAGCTCAGGTGGGGGGGGCAAGGGATGGGCCAGGGGGTTTCTTGGTG